GCGCCTTGGGCCGCGCTTTGCTGCGCCACATCGGCAGCTGCGGCTTCTTCCGCGCGGGGCGGCGCGGGAGCGATACTGCCGTCCCCGGCGCGGGGGCCGCTACCGGCACCTGCGGTCGAAGCTTGTTCCACACAGCAGCCCCAAATCCGTGCCTAAGCTCGCAAACTGCTCAGAATGTTGGGGCAATACTTCATGTCTAAGGGTCACTTCAGGGTCCAGGTTTTGGATTCCATTTGAATCACTTTAGGTGTGTGACCGAGAGTGGTAAACACGGGGTTTATACATGTGTCCCCTTATAAACTGATCGGCAAGTTCGTGGTTGGGAGCATCATTAATTTCGGGGATGGGGTTATACTGCTGTCAAAAAACTCGGCTCTTGTGCATCCCATGGCATTTTTCAAGCTTATCCCCAGCTCGACATTTCGACAGCCGTCACACACGATCCGGCCGTTCGGCGCCGCATGAAGCCGTTCGGCGCCGGACATGCGTGCGCTAAGCCATGAGTAAGCCGTCGCATGGTTCAAAACCCGAGTGCTCGAAAGTGGGAGCAGTTCATCCGGCAAGTGAAGCCGACAACTCGAGCTTTAGTCTACCTCAGCTTTTGCCCCCGATATTTAGCCAACCTGGATTTCTAAAATCAGCTCCAAAGAAAGCTCTCAGAAACAGGCTTCTCCATCGTTCTGCCTCCTTCTTCACCTCCTTGGAGTCTGGTCGCTTCTGACCTGCCAGAGACCATTCTTGCGATGATTTGGCAAAGCTTGTTTCTATCTAAACCTGTTTCCACTGGTTTGGGACCCGCAGGGAAATGGGATATAGAGCAACTATGTAGACACTATACAAGGATATGCACCAACAAATTTTTAGTGCCCTCCAATGAAAGGCACTTGACGTGTTTTTGAATCGATGGCACTTAAGGCCGTGTCGGTGGCCTAAGTGACCATTTGATTCGTTTGCCAAGTGCCCTTTTTGGCTTGATAGGGGTTGGTGTTCCTCGACAGTTCACAGTCATCCAGGTGGTCCTTTTGAAGTCGGAAGACGATGACCCCATGGGAAGAAAAACGTAACCTGGCTTGCAAGGGTCACGTTGCTTGTCAGCTTGTCCTGGAAGTATTCCCGGAATGTGGCTTGGCAACACTTCGCAAGAATCCAAAGGTGCTTCCTTTTGCTTTACCATTCTCCGGTGCAGAGTTGGCAGCAAGCCAAGGGCACCAGAAGAGGACAGTGAATAACCTTGCCTCAATACAAGCCGGACCCGGCACAAAACAGGTCATGCGTTTGCGTTTTGCCACGGATTCACTTTGACTTCAAGTGGTACTCCTTTGACAACATAAGCCGCCAGTAACCCCAGTCCCCATGAGTTACCACACGCTAGAAGCTTGGCCATCTCACCAATTGAGAGGGACACAAGTTCCACACATCTTCAGAAAGTCAAACTCTGCAAAACCAGCTTGAGGAGAATCTGAAGGCCATGAACCATTGGTCAGCCTGCACCTTCGTGGGTTTCCCGTGAACCTTCCTGGATCTTGTTTCCATGACATGTCTGCCCTGCCACCAATCAAAATGATATTCCAGCACCCGCTTGTCAGGTTCCTCCATGTTAGCTGGTGGGAGGGTGTATGTATATCTCTTCATGGACTTCTGGCAAATCAGTGGGCCCATGGCCATGGATCCATGGATGCCTATGTCGCATGAGCCCGGCGCCCGCCCGCAGCAATCTCACGGCCACGTTTTCTCGCGCGGATCGAGCCTTCAGGCTTCCCAAAGAGCTTCCCGGAACAAGTCACCTGCCGAACTTCAGTCTCTATAGCCTGTAACCAGGTAAGTTGATGGACGTGAAACAGCAAGACTAAAAGGTTGCCAAAGGAATGACCCAGGTAATTGGTATTTGGTTTCAAGACTAAACAATGGCATGCGGAACATGAGAGGCGCCATGTTGTAGGGGCCCCTAGTTATCAATGAACACACGCTGCGATCTAGCGAAGCGCGTGGTGACCGAGGCCCCTCAAAAACACAACATTTCAGGCCAACCAGCCCCATTGAAGGCCATACGTCACTTGGTCCATTGCCAATCGACTCCACCCTAAAAACCTAGCAAACAAAGCATTCCAGGCAAGGCATTCTTTAATGCGTATTTACATGTATTTACCCTGCAAGCATCCTTTAGCCCATTTCAAAGCTGCCTTTCAACGTCGCAAGGGTAGTGGCTGCTCCAAAACACCAAGAAGCGCAACAATTTGGACCCCTGGAAACCCCGAGCACGAGACGTTGAAACTCAGAGTGAGCCCTCCTCGAGCGCGAGTGGCGGCTTGCCGTTGCCAATGCACGAATTAGGACAGGGTGCGCAGGACGTGCGTCCCCTTGAAACGTGGCCTTGATGGCGCGAGCGGAGGGCCAGCATTAGGTGAGGGATATCGATGAAAACAAAGAGCAACTAACCCGAGCTTGCATGAAGTGTAATTTATTTCCATTTCGCTGAAAGGGGTTGGCCATTGGTCGTCAGCCCGATGTTAGCAACACGCAACTGGATATCTTCTCGCGGGTGAGCTGTTATTTTCATTGCGTGGGGCCTCTACACTGGAAGCACATACCTACACGGAGGCTACGCGGTTGCCTTGCCCCCTTGGAACTTTTGGCTACGCGGCGGCTACGCGGAACATACTTTTTGATAAGTGGCTTCGCTCGGGGCGAGGGACGGGGGGTACGCCGGGGCCACGCGAAAGGCGGGGGCACATGGACGTAGCACAAGCAGAAGTAGAAGTAGTAGTGGTAGTACGAGTAGTAGTACGTGTTGTAGTAGCAGTAGCAGTAGCAGTACTGTAAAAGTAGCAGTACCAGTAGCAAAAGCGGTAGCAGAAGCAGTAGCAAAAGCAGTAGCAGCAGTAGTAGTAGTAGCAGTAGCAAAGCGGCAGCAGAAGCAGTAGCAAAAGCAGTAGCAGCAGTAGTACTAGTACTAGTGGAAGTAAATGTAATACTTGTAGAATAGTAGTAGTAGTAGTAGTGGTGGTGGTGGTGGTGGTGGTGTAGTAGTAGTAGTAGTAGTAGTAGTAGTAGTAGTAGTAGTAGTAGTAGTCAGTAGTAGTAGTAGTAGCAGTAGCAGTAGCTGTAGCCGTAGCAATAGCAGTTGCTGTAGCAGTTGTTGTTGTTGTTGCTGCTGCTGCTGCTGCTGTTGTTGTTCTCGTTGTCGTTGTCGTTGCGGTTGTGGGTGTGGGTGTGGGCGCGGTTGTGGTTGTGGTTGTGGTTGGGTTGGTGGTTGTGGTCGTGGTGGTGGTGGTGGTCGTGGTTGTGGCTGTGGTTGTGAATGTGGTTGTTGTTGCTGTTGCTGTTGCTGTTGCTGTTGGTGTTGGTGTTGCTGTTGCTGTTGCTGTTGCTGTTGCTGTTGCTGGTGTTGTTGTTGGTGTTGGTGTTGGTGTTGGTGTTGGTGTTGGTGTTGTTGTTGTTATTGTTGTTGTTGTTGTTGTTGTTGTTGTTGTTGTTGTTGCTGCTGCTGCTGCTGCTGCTGCTGCTGCTGCTGATATACTAGCAGTAGCAGTAGAAGTTCGTCGCCGCGGTGGTAGTAGTAGTAGTAGTAGTAGTAAGCAGCAGCAGCAGTAGTAGTAGCAGTAGTAGTAGGAGTAGTAGTAGTAGTAGTAGTAGCAGTCGTCGTAGTAGTCGTGGTAGTCGTAGTAGTAGCAGTCGTCGTCGTCGCCGTAGTACTAGTAGTATTATGTGGTGGTTGGTTGCAGTCGTGGTCGTAGTGGTGGTAATGGTTTGTGGTTTGGGGTTAGCGGTAGCGGTAGCCGTTTCGGTGGTAGTGGTAGTGGTAGTGGTAGTGGTAGTGGTAGTGGTAGTGGTAGTGGTAGTGGTAGTGGTGGTAGTGGTAGTGGTAGTAGTAGTGCTGGCGCATGGGCGCATGGAACGGCCGTGAAGGCGTGTGAGCCAGTGGACTTGAACAGGCCTTGGAGGCTACGTGGAGGCTACGCTTAGGCTCTGCTGAGGCTCCGCGGAATGAGCAAACTAAATTCTGGCCAGGCCAGTGCACATCAAATTCACCCTCTTTCTTTGAGACTTGCAAGCTTTCAACCTAAGCCTTTAGCTCAAAACAAAGGGGCTATGCAAAAGCCACGCGGACGATTTTCGACAGCTCCCTTTGCCAGGTTGTTGCAGGGCTACCCGGGGTACGGGATCTTCTTTCAAGAACTAGATGCGCAGGGTTGAGACAAAATCCACATATTTCATACAAGCAACCGAAAGCTCCGATACAGACCGAGACCCCGGTCATTTTTTGGCCATTGCTCGTATATGTCCAACTGTACCTGATGCGCTCTTTAATCCCACGGGCAGTCAGCCACACCGCCAAAAACGGGTGATATGCACAGCTCGCATTGCGCGCATTGGCTCCAAGCACTTCACAGTAAGGCTAGGAGAAGTCCATAAGTCATGTGTGCTTTGTAGGTTCCTCACGGTCACTGAGGTGAGAAAGGCAAGCCTGCGATTTCAGCCATGTCTGCGTCGCTTTGTTTTGCATTGCGCGGAGTTGGGCTTGAATTGCTCACAGCTCTTCGGCATTTTGTTCCACCACTTCCCCAATCCCAACAAAGGGGGTGCAGTTGCCGATTTGCTTTTGGTTTCCCTTTCCAAGGCCAAAGGCATTCCCCTAAAAGACACTCCCACAGCCGCAAGCCCAAGCTACTCTGGTGAGGTACCGGGACCCCATGTGGGGTTTAGTTTTTCTCTTAAGGGTACCCTTGCTTTTGCCTGGGTATGTTTCAAAGGGGGAAATTAAAGGAAGCTACTTGTTTCAAAGGGGTTCCAAAAAACAGGGCGTTCTCCTATTTTTGCCACAAACCCATGCCACAAAACGCCAAGATGCCATGTTACGGGTCGGTGCCCGGAGCCGAGCTTTGGCTCATGGAAACTCAGCAGCTCAGCCAAAAGGTTGTTCTCACCAAGCCTTTGGCAAAGCAACGGGAAACTTCGTCGGTTCCCAAGAAACTCGAGTCACAAACCGGATTTCCATTGCTATTTCCCATTTATGCCTTGCAAAGGCCTGGCGACATGGACTTTTTGCTCGAACAACGAGCCGAGCGAGAGCTCGGGTCAGCTTCACGCGATTCACGGTTCCACTGCGCCATACTTCCGCAAGAGGTGGCGGATGGATGCAACGCGATCCAAGCCAGGCCCGACCTGCAACAGGATCAATAAAAATGAAAGCTCAACCCGGATGATGGTTTCCCCTACATCTCCAGTTGTTCGAGGTGGTTTGCGGGTTGAACCACCTTGAATTCTAGGCAAATAAACTCTAATTCCCAATCGGAAATCAGGAACCACACATACGGACCTTGGTCACGGCTCGCTTGACGCGTGAGCTCGTAACCAGCCCTTCGATCGTAACCTCAACATGCCCCCCATGGCAGCTTGTGGAAAAAGGCCACACCCCTGAAGGTCTGATCCGGTCGAGCCGGGCAGAAGACGAAAGCCTTGGCCCAACTCTGGGGCACAAGAAATAGTTTGTGGTACCAGGACAACCTGCTAATAGATAGTCATAGAGCAAACCCCGGAGAAAAAAGAAGAAGAACAACACAAAACAGTTTTAGGGATCAATTGGACCTACCAAGCCCCACAGCTATGCCTGATATCAGATATGCTGGGTTCCCAAAGAAGGTATTCCTCCACAACCGACGGTTTCTGGGGTTCCAAGTTCATCTGCTGGGTATTTTCTGAGTCCCCCATCCTGGTCCAGGTTCAGCGCGTAGTACAGGGGGCTTTTGCCAAAAGCATCCAGCGCATTCGCATTGGCACCGGCTTCCAGCAGGCATTGCACCGAACACAGGCTGCCACTCTTCACCTACAGAAAACGGAATCCCTGCTCGATGAGAAAACGCTCCCAGTATTTATCGATCCACCCTCGGGCCCTAGGGTTCGATGGCTCAGGTGCGCCCCGACGATAACCTCTTCGGGGGGAGGGCGGGGGTTGGTAATGCACAATGTTTGACCGTCAATCTACCCTCCTTCCCACTGACAGGTACCCTCCCACAGTTGCTTTGTGAGTGGCAGGGAGGGTATCCCAAAAGGTGGAGGCAAATTTAAAGACCATGGACATGCCAATGTTCCAGAAGGTTGACTTTTTGGTCGTGCGAAACCCCGGTATCAAATGACCACTGTGAACCCCTCAAAAAGCAAACAACACATGGAAGGGGTGCTTTGGGGGGGTGATTTGGGGGTCGAGAAAGCTGAAAGCTACGCGCAGCCTAGGTACTGCAATGTGCAGAGGCCTTTGCAGGTCAATGCCTCCCACCAGGTCAGGGTCCGCCCCGGCATCCAAGACCTGCCTCAAGCTGTCCAAATGGGAGGCTCCAGCCAGCACGTGCAGCGCAGTGAGCCCAGAACCATCCCGGTCGAAAATCGACTGGAACAGAAATCCGTCCAAATCAGAAGCATCCTCCAAGGCACGGGCACAGGGATGCAAGTCAGTACTAGCAACCGACGGACGGAAGTGTGGGGGCTCAACCGATTCGACCATAGAGCTCAGCATCTTCATCAGCGACTTCTCCTCGAGATCTGCCACCCGCCCCTCGTCCAACTGCGGCGACACAAGCGGAGGGGCCATGGCGACGGCGCGGCTCGGCAGAACTCTTGAGCTGAGATCTGAAGCAAAAAACTGGCACTCTCCGAGCCTCTTGGAGCCACACGGAATAATACAACACACACACACACACCAAATTATGAACTTTTGGCTTCCAATCTTCCCTTCCTGTGCGGATGAGCACAAAAAAGTCTGAACTTCTTATTTACCACTAAAATGGTTTTCCCGAAAAAGTTAAAAGTCCGGGAACTCAGGAAGCTAGTTTCAGCACAAATAATAAGAACGATGGGCCATGTCTCGCTCAGCCCTGTTGCAATGTAGCGTGGAACGAACAGTGGCGGGCTTTGCCTGCCGCGGATATCCTTTATTAAACATTGTGCTCCAAGAGAAACAATGCGCCCTTTAGCCACAACCCCTGGAAACTCCTCAATGCATGAACCGTACATTACGAGAAAGCAGCCTTAAAAGTGTCCAACCTGGCCATGGGTTCACATTTTGAAATGTAGCATCAGCCTTTGGCCTATAAAGTATCTGCCCACTCGCTGCCATAAGGCACGAAATTGACAGGGACCGATGCCTCCCCTCACCGCCCTTGAAAGGTAGCATCCAGTGGAAACCGCTCTCTTCCCCCCGTACGTTCCGTTTTGACACGAAGCCTTGCGGGTCTTTAATTAAAATCATGAATATCGAGGAGAAGTCATGGACGCAAATACTTTAGGAGTGGCCCTGCTTCTCAAGCCCGGCCAGCAAGGTGGATTTCTGATATTGTGATTCCCCAATGTCATTCACTGGGAGAACGCTAGCTGGAGCCTCCCATTCGGGTGCTTGCCCAGCCACATCGATCCTTCCCGAGAAAGCTCGCTATCGAAAGTTACGCCGGTCGCCCGTCCGTTTGTTCCTAAGCTGACAGGGAGGTCCCTTGAACCAGTCAACCGCTTTGTCCATAAGCTCAAAGTCGATGGAACGCCGGCCCGCTCAAACCAACAACTTTGAATGCCCGCCATACAGTCGTCGGCATCAATAAGCCGGTTTCTTCAGCCCCGCAATACCTCCTGTGGCTTGACCGTTTAGAGCCAAACCAGAAGATTTGAAGAAGGGAGCCCACTGAACACCAGGGCGCCTTGCAATTGATGGTTGCTTTCAACCCAAAATACTTGTTTCAAAAAACAAACGCCGCTGCAGGCCTGCTTTGCTTGCTCAAGATCTCTGACCTTGAGGCTCAAGATGCCAGGCTTGCATGCTGGCGTGGGGGGGGGGGGGGGGAAGGGGCCGCCTTTGTGTACGTCCCCATCTGCAGCAATCGCAGGGATTTGAGATAAGGCGATAAGGAACAAATATACACGTTTAAAAACCAAAGGCCCCCTCCAGCAAGAGAGCTTCGTGGACCCTTTGTAGAGTGAGGTTCTGAGAAGGGCCCTGGGAAGCTTCCTGAAAGTCGGGGGCTCCTGTGAATGAACCCGCGCGCCTCGTCGTGGGCGCCTGGACAAATTGCCTTGCCGGATTGTGAAGAGTTGCTTTCCCATCATGCTCACTCATATGCTTCTGAAACCAGAGGCCGCCCTTCTTGCCAAGGTGTTGGAGAAGGGTCTGGCCCGTTTTCTTTTTCTGAAAAGGCTGTTTAAAAAGAATGGGCAAGGTACGGCTGGAACTTGGTTGGAACATGTTCTTTGACTTCCCTGAAAGGCCTAGAGATTCGCCTTGGTCGTAGCCTCGCTTGCTGAGTAGACTGGCCAAGCCACCAAATTGGCCTTCCCAACAAGTGCAAAGAAGGGGAACTCAAGTAAGCCTGCGGGGCCAAGTTGAGCAACCTGATTTCAAGCCTCAAAGTTGGAGAGGCCCTATGATTGGACCGTTGTGTTGCGCACAGTACGCTCCAAAATCCATACGTTAAGACAGAGACACGCACACACATGGACCCTGATACAAAGTTGATTGGAGTGGACTGCTCTATCAAGGCGGCCCCACCCTCAGGTTCAGGAAAGGATCTGCAAGGCACCCCTCAGGGTGTTGACACAGAAGTAACCCTGAATCTCACTGAAGGTGGCACAAAATAACACCGACTTCCAAATCCAAGTCCCTTGTTTACGTCAACACTCTTGGTGTCTCATGAAAGTAGAGGCATCATGAGTGCGCCCGCCCCGGTGACACATGAGTTTCCATTTGTCCACTGAAAGAAGCCATGGGAATTGTACAACACGTGCCCCCTCCAGGGATATGAACCAGGATCCCTCCCATTCCCTTCCCTCCCATTCCCTTCCTGTATGTTGACTAGGGGGTTTGGGAAAACCGCAACATCATGCTTAAACAGACCGCAACTAATGTAGCCTCCTGCGACGCGAAGGCAGGGTCTCGTCTTCCCCGCGACGCCGGAAAGCAAACTAGCGTGCCGTAAAGCCGTCCTCTTTCAGTGGGTGTTAACTGGCTCGTCTGGGAAACCATACGAACTGCCTAGAACAAATGTGGGAAAGGACACCTCCCTGAATTTGGGATGTGGGGATGGGGCTTCCTAGTTTTGACAGTCCCAACAAGAGTCTCGGAGCTAGAATCTACCTTGTGAGCGGACTATGCAAATGCAAGGGGACAGAATGAAAGCTACACAACATGAAACGAGTGAAGAAACACTGAAACAAGTTCCCCAACATGTGACATTTCAACACCCAACGATCGATCGGGGCAAAGCAACGGAATAAGCTCTGCCACGGGGCGCTTCGGCGGTGGGCTCACCTTCGCCGAGGGCGAGTCAAGCCCTGTGAACATGAAGGGCCCAAGTAAATAGAACGAGGTTGCGTGGTACTTCACCAAATCCTCCCACCAAGTAATACGGAACCTGACAGGGGGGTCCTGGAAGAAAGACCACTTTCCTTTTTCGAAGGGACCACCTGTCAGGCTCCATGCTAATTGGTGGGAGGGTAAGACTCGCACAAGATGATAACATAACAGCTATTGCATACAGCTCGGTCAAAAGTAGATGATGGTAACGCAAGCCAAGGCTGAAAGCCAAGGAATCTGTGAGCTTCATCGGTGAGCTTGGCTTACAATTGGCAGATCTTCAAAAAGCAAAACGATCAAAATCTAAGCATCTGTGTGGCCTCCACAAAGAACAAATGTTTCCCAACCTTGCCACCTATGCCTGTTTGTGCAATTTTCCATCCATCCACTAAGCTATTCACTACCATGGCTACAAAGATTGACAGGGCCACAGGAAACCGGGCAGTACAACCACCCAAAACGAGCAATGCGGGGGTTCAGCGCTCAGAAATCGCCCATTACCCACTGGATCCCCCGGCCAATGCTGGGAGCTGAATCTTCGCTGTAAGCTCCTCGTCTCGACCGGTCTGCGTGGAAAGTAATTAGGTAGCCGTTTTGGGGATTTCGAAAGAAAGCCACAGGTTTCAAGACAAATTTCCACGAATTAAAGGAAGGGCTGAGATCTGGCCTTTGACCCCCAGAAACCTCATTAGGAAGTTGTTGGGTTGGGAACTCCTCCCCTATTTTAAGACAAACCCAAGTCTTGCGTGGTCTCAGGGAGACCAATGGGTGTTGGGACGGAATCCCCTTGAAGGAAACCACAAGGGATGGCTCATGCCGGGTCCTTCCCTCATTCGCCGATGACATTTTTTAGGTGAGACATCCTGAATCTTGTAACATTGTAGGCATCGCGATTCGGTGGACATCCTTGTTCCATTCCCAAACCCCTGTGGTCAAGCCAAACCTGACTTCCCAACTGTGGTTCAGGGGCCGGAAATGTTGAGGCGTCCCCCCTGCTGCAAACAGGAGAAAGCCCTTTCTTATCGTGTAAGGTTGAATCGCTGGCAATCTGGGCAGAATACGAGAGTTGATCAAGCGGAAGCCAGGGATATCCAAGAAAGCTGACATACCTCACCGCTGTGGATGGAGAACATCCTGCAGCAGTTTGGATGGATGAAACCCTGTGAAGACTGGGGCAAATCACAAATCCCAGCTGGTGTCAAATCTGTAGAGTCAAGGAGAGGACCGCCGTAACTGTGCAAAGCATGAGCAATGTTTACACAAATTGGAGAACATAACCTGCAATACACATTCCACAAGTAAGCCTACATCACAGTGAGCGTGCCCCACTTAAGGATCTTCATCACAATGAGCGCGCTTTGCCTTCAGTTTCAGGTTGGTGCGCCACAAAACAGGCACACATTTGAAGCAAACGACAAGTGGACACTACCCCGTCAGCACTGGCGTCAGTGCAGCCTCAGGCGCCTTGCGACGGGTGTCTACCGTACGCCCTCGCAACTCGGCACATTACCCCTCAAATGATTCCAACCCTCCCTCCCCACCGCCCCTCCCCCTGTTTTCCCGCAATAGGACGCCATTAGGCTATTTGCAGTAGATGGGAGGGGCGGATGGCCCACTCTCCTGCACCAGTCGCGAGCTAGGGCGGCTGTCTGACCTGACAGCCAGAGACCAAGGACTCCGAACACAGCGTGACTCACGAGCGAGTCGAAACCTGCAACCTCACCAGGCAAGAACCTGGGTCCATTAAAGTGGCATCCTCAAGATAACCCAATCCTCATTGTACGCGGTCTTGCCCAATCCTCATTGCACGTGGAAACACAACTCCCAAACATGCTCACCATGATGGACTCGATGCACTGATGTTACACAACCTGAAGGTCCAAAAGTCGGCCCCGGCCAGCTGAGAAGGCTCTGCCACCAAACGTCTTCGTGACCCCAAACGATGCCTGGTGCTCCCAAAGCCTTGCTAGCAACCCTTCTTGCGGCCTTCGACGCATTCAGCAAAGCAACTCAGTTGGCTGATGCTCATGTCTCAAACGAAGTCCTCAATCAGAAACTACCAAACACTCAAAGGGACAACCTCAACCACAGCCGAAGACATGACACAACGAGCAGTACCCGCCGGAGCCGGGAAACATCTCTGACCAAGGGACCCTGAGCCCCCCGCCTTGGGGTTGGGCTGCTGAACGGGCTGGGCCTAGCAAGTTGCACGAGCAAGCATATGGCGCTCACAACAACGCAGAGCTTCTGGGACGGGGTCTCTACCAGATTCCAGAAACCTGCTTTTGGGGCGCG